AATAAATGTATAATTTTGATTTTTGACCCTAAATTATTATGACAATGTTTTATTATTGCTATCACATGATCGCGATGGTATATACTAAGTGGTCTAAATGTATATTTTGTAAAGACTTACACGGTCCCGGTCTTACCCAGACCAGCCCGGAATTGGCTCTACTCGGRCAGACTTTGAGTCGAGTCTGGTCCTATAATATGCAAGACAGSCCATGTCGACCTCTACAAAAGTTATAGGGCCTGGTCGGGCTGGACCATTTTCTGAAACAAAAGTTAGGGCCGGGCTTTCCTTAAATCAAATTACAAAAACTTCGGGTTGGGCTTTTTCACAAAATATTTTACCTGGGTCATGCCAAACGAAAATATATGGCTTAATAACCGTGCCGTGCTTAATCCATACAATTTTTAGGTGGGCATTGAGYAGCACCAAGCAATTATTAAATAAAATGAGTCTATACAAGCTAGGCTTAGTTACTTACGACAAATTATCCATATGTGACAAGTAGGGCCATAATTTTAGTTTTAAATTAATTTATCCCGTCAGGGCAATTTTTAAAAAGTRCTGATCAAATATATATAGCCATGGGCTTACACACCAAAAACTATTCCTGGACTAGACCGAGCTGTCAAAAAAAAWTTTACAGGGCTGAAAATTATCAGCTTGTGCAGATCTCTAATATTTAGATAGGTACCTACTCATAATGTAAGCTGATAAAGATGATACAGTGATATACTCTTTACTAAATGCACGATAGGTAGGTATTAAATTGAAAGTTTATTTTTTTGTTAAATTCAGCAAATTAGGTCTTTCCCCGAGACCATTTTATTTAGTACGCTTATCTGAATTCTGAACGCATTTATATTTTGGTTATACGTAATYGCTATCCGCTTGTCGTTTTCTTCATTAAAATCAGCGTTTACGTTAATCTTTAGCGTTAGTGTATCTTTTTTTTTTTTGAGGAGAACCCGCGGCAACATAGGCCATTGGGTGTGGAGGTGGTACGGTAGGAGTTATTTTTGTATATTTGTTTGTAGGTTTTTGAGTTGGTAGGGTTGTAACACGTGTTTGTGTATGTTTGGCAAGGATATGTTGCTAAAAATCCCGGGTGGTCACCCA